TAACCATAATAGGCTTTGGCAGCTGTTCCCCATTGCACAGTAGGTCCAAGTGTTGGCCAAACAATTTGCCCGGTTTGGTGGGCGTGGAGGGCTCGCTCGTAGATATACCACTATCGAGGGAGACATCACCGCCACCTCCACCACCGCTGGTCTTAATACTGATCTTCTTGAATGGCCGCCAATTGATTGGTCGCCTCTTATTCTTCGACTTCTTGGCGCTATTGTCGAGTAGAGCGCCGGTAGTGTTCTTGGGATACGATCGCCTCAATATGAATATACACTTGTTGTCGGCGGCGATGTTGTTAAAGTTCTGGAGATCCAGATTGGATCGGTGGAGCAGATCCCGCACGAAGTTCATCTTGATGGCAAACGGGTACTCGTGTCCGATGAGCGGATAGGGTGTGTCATCTCGTGATGTCTTCACCCAGAGTTGGTAGTCGTCGACGGGTCCGTCGCATTTGAACTCATCAATGGCCGACTGTATGGCGTCGGTTGTGGTGCACCGGTTGGTCACCTTCACGAGTGTGTACTTGTCCTCATTAGCCACCGGATCCCAGTATGATATCTGTATTGTTGTATTACTTTTGCCCTCTTTCTCCTTGATTTGGTTAATAGATCTGCGGATGAATTGATTCAATGATAATAATTGCGTTAATTAATTGTCATAGTTTTTGTTTGTGTTGTTTTCATTCAGGCATTTAATTAATGAAATATTTAATTAATGAAATATTTGTGACTAATTAAATGTTTTAATTAGCAATTTATTATTAATATTGTCTATTCATACGGTTTTTTTTGAATGAATAAATTATTTTTACAAGTAATAATTAAATATTAAATTAAAATAAATTATTGGCGTAAATAATACTTTACAAAAACCTGGAGTAAAATCTATCGCAAGAAAACATTTGATTTTTAGTTGTTTTTCTCGTTATTATAGATCGCAAACCGAAAGGCGAAAAATCATTTGTTAAAAATAAACAGAAAAATAACTAAATTTAATTAATATTTAAATGCAGTAATAAATCACTGGTTTTTAGGAAAATACTAGGATTTATAAAACAAATCATTTGTATTGATAATAAGGTAAGCAAAAGGGAGTTCAGGAAATCATCGGCAAAACAAAACTATTGCTAAAAATATATTCCAAACACTAATCAAGAAATGATATAAAAAGCCGTTTATTTTCACAACAATTAATATAATGAACACACAATTTGGTGGCAAATAAAACGACAAACCGTTTGATAAAATTTTAACCGATAATTAATTGAGAGTATGTGTGGAAAGGGATTAATTATAACAAATAAATAAAAGTATCTACACTTTTAGATTAGTTAACAAAACCTAAATGCTTTTTCCTAATTTGTTGTCTAGTTTGTTTTTTATTTCTCTCTCTCTCTCTCTCATTATAAATATCAGGCAACTATTTTTGGGGGCAAAAGTTATAGACAACAAAAAACAAAAATATTTAGCACAGATCTGATAAGACAAGTGTATTGAGTGATAGTTAAGGGTTGGGGCGGTTTTGGAGGGGAAAGGTATGCGATTTATATACTTATTACTATTTACTTGCATTTATTGGACTGTTTTTTGTTTGTTTGTTATTTATATATTTTGCTTACAATTAATAATCGCAATCAAGATTTGTTTATTTCAATTACAATTTCCTTAATTCCAATCAAATATATATAAAATAGTTTATTAATAAA